GAGGAAGGGAGGACAGGCAAGATAAGATGGAAAGGCAGGAAGGGAGGGAGAAGGGAGGGAAGACTGTAAGGAAGAAGTAGAAGAAAATATGAAAGTGAAGGTGAAGGGCAGAAAGAAAGAAAGAAAGAAACAAGGAAAGAAAGAAAGAAAGAAAGAAAGAAAGAAAGAAAGGAAGGAAGGAAGGAAGGAAGGAGGGAAGAAAGAAAGGGAGGGAGGGAGGAAGGGAGGGAGGAGGAAAGGAGAGGAAAGGGGGAGGGAAGTTAAAGTGGAAAGGATGAAAAATAGAAGGAAAAAAAGGTGGAAAGGAAGAGAAAGTAGAAAGGAAGGAAGGCTGGAAGGGAAGATGAAAAGGAGGAAGGAGGTGAAAGTGGAAAGGCAGAAGGAAAGAAGGAAAGAAGGATGGAAGGAAAGAAGGATGATAAGATGGAAAGTCAAAAGAAAGGGAGAGAAAGTAGAAGGAAAGGAAGGAAGGTTGCAAGGAAACAAGGAAGGAAGGATAGAAATAATAATAATAACAACAACAACAACACCTTTTAATTCTCAGAATAATATATGCCTACGAACCTAAAGCGGTGGCTCCAAGAGTGAAATGTCTCCTCCGAGGCTCTGCTTCCTTTCAAATCTCCATTAAAGGCCGAAGACGGAAGAAAGACAGGAGAAAAGAAAGAAAGGAAGAAAGAGGAACAACCCTCCTTCTCCTCCTCCCTTCCCTTTGAAAATGGGAGAGAAACAACGAGAATAAAATGGGGAAGTTGCAAAACCAAGGCATAAAGTGGTGACGAAGGCCCATAAATCTCAGAGATACGCAAAACGGAGGAGGTGTGATTAGTCACATAACAACACTGTGGTTAAATATAAACATTTTATTATCAACAAATAACATTATTAATAATAATAATAATAAAAAAGGGAGATGCAGAGAATTATGAGGAGAATCATCCAAGTTCTGCAGCAAACAGTCCTCAAAGAGCGCATTCGATGGATTCATCCAAATGCAGCTATTTCACAAAAACATCAGGAATGAGGCCAGTGATTGATAACTCCTTTTTTTCTGGAGGCAAGACTTAAGTGTTGGTGGTCAGTGTTGGAAATATTCCTCTTTTGGGGCAAAGCAGCTGGTGCCTGAAGGTCTGATGCCTGAAAAAATAGAAAAGGTTTTCCTTTCAAAATCAGGAAGGAAGGAAGGACGGAAAAAGGAAGGAGGGAAAAGGAAGGAAGGAAGGAAGGAAGGGAAGGAAGGAAAAGGAGGGAAAAAGGAGGAAAGAAGGGAAGAAGGGAAGGAGAGGAAGAGAGGAAGGAAGGAAGGAAGGAAAGGAAGGAAGGAAGGAAAGGAAGGAAAAGGATGGAAGGAAGAAGGAAGGAAGAAGGAAGAAGAGAAAAAGAATGAAGGGAGGAAAGAAGGAAAGGAGAAAAGGAGAAGAAGAGAAGGAAGGAAAGAAGGACGGAAGGAAGGAAGAGGAGAAGGGGAAGGAGGAAGGAGGAAGGAGGAGGAAGAAAGGAAGGAAAGGAAGAAGGGAGGAAGAAGGAAAGAAGGACAGATAGATGAAGGAAGGAAGGAAGAAAGGAAGGAAAGAAGGAGGAAAGAAGAAAGAAGAAGAAGAGGAAGGAAGGAAGAGAAGGAAGGAAGAAGGAGGAAGGAAAGGAAGGAAAAAGGGAAAGGGAGGAGGAAGGAAGGGAAGAAGGGAGAAAAGAAGGAAGGAAGGAAGGAAGGAAGGAAGGAAGGAAGGAAGGAAGGAAGGAAGAAAGGAGGAAGGGAAGGGAAGGAAGGAAGGAATATATAATGCATTGCAAGAAGGAAAGAGACTGAATTGCATTATGGCACTCATGTTATTATTGTAACAACAACAATAACAACATTAAAAACAACAAAAACAAACAAGGAAAGAGATGGAACTAGATTATGGCCGCCATGTTATAATTATTATTGTTATTATATTGTTATTATAATAATAACTATTATTATTACTGAACAAGGAAAGAGACAAAACTACATGATGACTTCATATTATGATCATTATCACTATTATTTCAACAAAGAAAGAGATAGAATTGCATTATGGCCCCCATTTCCATGAAGGGTTATTATTATTATTATTATTATTATTATTATTATTAATATTAATATATTCTTGGACGAGGAAAGAGACAGAACTGCATGATGACACCATGTCCATGAATAATAATAATAATAATTTTCTTTATGTCCCACTTTTGTCTTATTGATGGAGAGGTAAAGCAGCTCATGACATTAAAAAGCAATACAACTTAGTAAATTTTATTGGTTAGCCCATTGGTTGTATCTAAAACATTTGACAAACACATACACATATAGTACAACATAAGTTTAAATAAACAAGCTGTTAAAAAGGTTCCAATCCAGATCAAATATCCGCACCACCCCAACAGAACTTAAAATATCAAAATGGAATTAAACATATAAACAGTCCCAGGCCCAGATCCATGCAATGAATGGTTACTACCTGGTCTTTCAGAGCTGATTCTTCCTTTTTTGGAGGCGGGAACTTCTCCGAATCAAGAAAGGCTCTGGATTCGAAACTTCAGCACCGGACTCCTGCAGAGGAGGGAAAACACAGGATGAAACCCTCGTCTGAGAAGAAATCCTTTGTTTGCAACTGACATGCAAGGGCTATTGCTCAACTACAGGCGTCAGGGAGTTTTTGAACAAAATCTGGCTACCAGTATTAAAAAAACTCTAAAATTACAACAGCAAAACAACAAGAGGAAACAATCTGGGACATCTAATCACCTCTCAACAAAGATTGCCCCAGGCACTGCCAGGCCATCAAATGCTAATCAAGGTGGTCAATTGAAACATTCACACCTAGCTCCAACAGACAAGAGTCCTTTGTCTCACCCTGGTCATTCCACAGATATATAAACCCTTTTTCCTAGTTCCAACAGACCTCACTACCCCTGAGGATGCTTGCCACAGATGCAGGCGAAACGTCAGGAGAGAATGCCTCTAGAACATGGCCATATAGCCCGAAAAAACCTCCAACAACCCAGTGATTCCGTCCATGAAAGCCTTTGACAATACATTATTATTATTATTATTATTATTATTATTATTATTTTGTACCCTCCTTTTTTTCCAAGAAAGCATTCATCAATATTATTATTATTATTATTAGACCCTTGCTTATCTCCAAGGATTCATATTATTATTATTATTATTATTTTGTATCCTCCTTTTTTCCAAGAAAGCATTCATCAATATTATTATTATTATTATTATTATTATTATTATTATTATTATTATTATTAGAACCCTGCTTATCTCCAAGGATTCATATTATTATTATTATTATTATTATTATTATTATTATTATTATTATTTTGTACCCTCCTTTTTTCCAAGAAAGCATTCATCAGCATCATTATTATTATTGGAAACACAACAAGATTACTACACAGCAAACAAGGTCACTCTAGGTTCTTGTGGGTTTTTTCGGGCTATATGGCCATGTTCTAGAGGCATTTTCTCCTGACATTTCGCCTGCATCTATGGCAAGCATCCTCTCTGCTGGCTGTTGTATTGGATCACGCGTCTGACACTTCCCAAGTGTCTAGGACTGTGCGATGTATCGGCAAATAATGCGTGCAGATCGTTTTGCAGCCGACAAGTGGCAATTTCAGCAGCGCCAATTGTTTTTAAGTGCAGGCCAAGGTCTTGAGGCACGGCACCACTGGGACTGCCTTGACTGGCTTGTGCAGTTCGATCTTTAAACCCGCATATTGTGTCAGCTTTTCTAGTTGCTTCTCGTGTAACATTAACAATCCATATTATTATTATTATTATTATTATTATTATTATTTACTAAACAAGGAAAGAGACAGGATCTCCTTTGAATCAATATTGTTACCTTAGGGTTGCCCTGAATCTGAAACAACTTGAAGGACTCAACAACAACAACAACAATAACAACAACAAACCAACATTCTGAGGGAGCCTGAATTAAGACTCCTGGCTTGGACAATACTCCACCTTCAGCTCCGTAGGGCTTTTGCGACTGTTGGCTGCCTTTCCAGGGCTGTCCCTCTCTGTTTCGTGTGGCTCTCTCTCAACCTCCTCCTCGTCGTCTTCATCATCTTCTTCTTCTGTTTCTTCTGAAGATGGGTCCAGATCCGCCCTGGAAATGGTGGTGGTCACCCGGAAAGGAGGCAGCGTCGCCAAAGCGGCTGGGAAGGCAAAGGCGGCCAAGAAGCGGCCCTTCAGGAGCTCGTAGGCCGGGTTTCCTTGCAGCCGTTGCCGCACCAAGGTCCGGAACCCCGTTTCTCCGGATCCTTCCGGCACCCGGAGCGAGGCGGCTTGACGCAACAGGGACTCTTTGAGTTGCAGCAGCGCAGAGAGGGTCCGGAGGCTGCAGAGGAATGGTGGCAAATAGGGCAACCCGGAGGGGCCCCCTTCCCCTTGCGACCACCGCTTTGCCGTTGCGGTGTCTTCGGTGGAAAGGAGGCGGTAATCGAGGGAGGCCTTCCCGGGAGGGTCCCCCGAAATGGGATGCCTCAGCACGGCTTCCGAAGAAACGGCGGTAAATGGAGGGGTGTTGTGGGATTCGCTGGAAGCAGAGGCTTGTGTAGATGTGACCGGACAGGTTATAGGGTTGCCAGTTTGACCGGGGAGGTGCACCACCGGGAGCAGGCCTTGCGGGGTCAGGACCCAAGAGAGGGACAGCGCCACGGGCGGAGGGGTTGCGGAGCAGCCATGTTTGTTCGAAGGAACAGGAAGTCCTTGGGAGTTGGAGGTAGGCGTTCCCAGGCTCACGTTGTGGGGGTTTGGAGAAAGATGGAGATTGGGTCGCTCGGCCATTGGGATTTGGAGATTAGGTGTAGAGGTTTGGAGATTTGGACTGGAACACTCCACCCTTGAGATCTGGAGATTCGGTGTTGGTATCTGGAGATTTGGCGTTGTGTTGGGGTGCTCCGCCATTGGGATCTGAAGGTTAGGATGCTCCACCACTGATGTCTGGAGACCTGGACTATGATGCTCCGCTACTGGGATCTGGAGGCTGGGATTGGGACTCTCCACCACTGATGTTTGGAGACTTGGATTGTGATGCTCTGCCATTGAGATCTGGAGATTCGGTGTTGGGATCTGGAGATCCGACGTTGTGTTGGGGTGCTCCAACATTGGGATCTGGAGTTTGGGACTGGGACACTCCACCACTGATGTTTGCAGACCTAGACTATGATGCTCCACCACTGGGATCTGGAGGCTGGGATTGGGACACTCCACTACTGATGTTTGGAGGCTTGGATTGTGATGCTCTGCCACTGAGATCTGGAGATTCGGCGTTGTGTTGGGGTGCTCCGCCATTGGGATCTGGAGGTTGGGATTGGTATGCTCCACCACTGATGTTTGGAGACTTGGATTGGAATGGTCCGCCACTGAGATCTGGAGATTCGGTGTTGGTATCTGGAGATCTGACGTTGTGTTGGTGTGCTCCAACATTGGGATCTGGAGGTTGGGATTGGTATGCTCCACCACTGATGTTTTGAGACTTGGATTGTGATGCTCCGCCATTGAGATCTGGAGATTCGGTGTTGGTATCTGGAGATCTGACGTTGTGTTGGTGTGCTCCAACATTGGGATCTGGAGGTTGGGATTGAGACACTCCACCACTGATGTCTGGAGACCTGGACTGTGATGCTCTGCCACTGCGATCTGGAGGTTGGGATTGGGACACTCCACCACTGATTTTTGGAGGCTTGTATTGTGATGCTCTGCCACTGAGATCTGGAGATTTGGCGTTGTGTTGGGGTGCTCCGCCATTGGGATCTGGAGGCTGGGATTAGGATGCTCCACCACTGATGTTTGGAGACTTGGATTGTGATGCTCCACCACTGAGATCTGGAGATTTGGTGTTGGTATCTTGAAATCTGACGTTGTGTTGGGGTGCTCTGCCATTGGGATCTGGAGGTTGGGATTGGAACGCTCCACCACTGGGATCTGGAGGTTGAGATTGGGCCATTCCACCACTGATGTCTGGAGACTTGGATTGTGATGCTCTGCCACTGAGATTTGGTGATTCGGTGTTGGGATTTGGAGATCTGGTCCTGTGTTGGGGTGCTCCGCCATTGGGATGTGGAGATTCGGCGCTGGACTGGGACGCTCCATCACTGGCATCTGGAAACTGGGATTGGGACGCTCTGCCATAGAAATCTGAAGATTCGGCGCTGGGATCTGGAGATTGGGACGCTCCGGCAACAAGATCTGGAGATTCGGCGCTGGGCTCTGGGGCCGAAGGAGGAAATTTGGGGCCAGGAGAGTCCTGCTCTGCTGGGCCTTCTGGGCCTCCCTGAGCCGCTTCTCCCGAAGGAGTTCGGAGACGGTTCTGGGTTTGGCAGCCGGGCGGCAAGGAAGGGCTTCCGAGGAGGAAGAGGATGGAGCTACAGGTAGGTAGCTACCTGTCGAATCTGAAGAAGCCTACAAAACAGAAAAGATCAAACAGCTTGTAATATAATAATAATAATAATAATAATAATAATTATTATTATTATTATTATTATTATTATTATTATTATTATTTGTCAAGCTAGGTATCAGTCATTTATGCCTTACATTAAGTATTTGTATTGATTTATCCTGGAATCACATTGGTCTTTGTTGCTGCAGCATCACACTCTTGACTTATCTTCAGCTTGTAATATACTAAGACACAACAATAATAATAATAATAATAATAATAATAATAATAATTATTATTATTATTATTATTATTATTATTATTATTATTATTTGTCAAGCCCGGTATCAGTCATTTATGCCTTACATTAAGTATTTGTATTGATTTATCCTAGAATCACATTGGCCTTTGTTGCTGCAGCATCACACTCTTGACTTATCTTCAGCTTGTAATATACTAAGACACAATAATAATAATAATAATAATAATTATTATTATTATTATTATTATTATTATTATTATTTGTCAAGTCAGGTATCAGTCATTTATGCCCCACATTATTTGTATTGATTTATCCTAGAATCACATTGGCCTTTGTTGCTGCAGCATCACACTCCTGGCTCATGTTTAGCTTGTGTTTAAATATATATATGTATCCAAAATAAAAGTCCAGAATGGCAGCATTCAATAGTCTTCTTAAATAGGGGAGTCTCTACCTGCTTGGTCCATCTTTTGTTCGCAACGACAGACTTCAGGTTCCCCGTCGGCCGGCTTTTCTGCTTCTGGATGACCTTCATGCACCCGCCGACATCAATGCGCAACAGCTACAGAGACCAGATGAAAGCACTGTTATTGCCTGGATGATTTGCAGGTTTGAAGAAGCATTTTTTCCTCCAAGAGGCAAAGCTATAAGTAATGCACGAGACCCACCTGGATGAAGAGGGTGAAGAAAGGGGTGCTGGGGAGACGGGCCGATTGCAGGGCCTTGGAGATGAATTCCGCTGCAAAGAAGGAAAGGAGATGTTTACATGGCCTGCTTATCGCTGGGGGTTGGACTGGATGGCCCTTGGGGGTCCCTTCCAACTCTAGGAATCCCTGGGAACCTTTAAGCAGGGGCTTGGATGGCCATCTGTTGGGAGAGATCGGATTGGATCCCCCTTTATGGCAGAAGAGGGTTGGACTAGATGGCCTTTGGGGGTCCCTTTCAACTCTAGATATCTATGATATATCTATCACACATACACACACATATATAAATCATATGTGTATGTATCTATTATTTTTATGACTGGATGACCATCTGTCAAGAGGGATCAAATTGTGTCAAAAAAGGATTGGACTGGAAGGCCCTTGCAGTCCCTTCAAACTCTACAATCTATCATCTATCTATTTAATATCTGTCTATCAATCAATCAATCAATCAATCAATCATATCTATGACTGGATGGCCATCTGTCAAGAGGGATCGGATGGTGTCTTCCTTTATGTCCAAAGGAGGTTGGATTGGATGGTTTTTGGATTCTCTTTCAGGTCTATGATTCTAGGATATATCTAATATCTCTCTATATATTTCATATTGGTCTATCCATCTATCTGTCGTAAGCATGGCTGGATGGCCATCTGTTGGGAAGGATCGGATGGGGTCTGTCTTTATGGCCTGGATTGGATGGCCTTTGGATTCTCTTTCAGGTCTATGATTCTAGAATATATCTACTATCTCTATCTATCGCTATCCTATCTAGCAGATCTACGGCTGGAGGGCCATCTGTGCGGTGGGATCGAATGGTGCCTTCCTTAACTGGCAGAAGGGTTTGAACTAGATGGCCCTCTTTGGGTTCTAGGATTCTATGATATATCTACTATGTATCTCATATTGATTTAGCTATCTATTCTATCATATCTATGGCTGGATGGCTATCTGTCAGGAGGGATCAGATGGCATCTTTCTTTATGGCTGAAAGGGGTTGGACCGGATATCCTTTGGATTCACTTTCAGGTCTATGATTTGAGATTGTACTTACTATGTATGTCTATCTCATATTGATCTATCTATTGTATCGATGGCTGCATGGCCATCTGTCGGGAGGGATCAGATGGTGTCTTTCTTTATGGCTGAGTTGGGTTGGACCGGACGTCCCTTGGATTTGCTTTCAGGTCTATGAATCGAGACTGTATCTACTATGTATGTATATCTCATATCGATCTATCTATTTATCAAATCTATTCTATCAATGGTTGGATGGCCATCTGTCGGGATGGATCGGATGGTGTCTTTATGACTGAGTGGGGTTGGATTGGATGGCCTTTGGATTCACTTTCAGGTCTGATTCGAGACTGTATTTACTATGTATGTCTATCTCATATCGATCTATTTATCAAATCTATTCTATCGATGGCTAGGTGGCCATCTGTCAGGATGGATCGGATGGTATCTTTCTCTATGGCTGAGTGGGGTTGGACTAGATGGCCCTTGGATTTGCTTTCAGGTCTATGATTCTAGTCCATACTATATGTATATCTCATATCAATCTATTTATCTTATCTATTATATCTATGGCTGGATGGACATCTGTCGGGAAGGATCAGATGGCGTCTTTCTATATGGCAGAGTCGGGTTGGACCGGACGTCCCTTTCAGGTCTATGAATCGAGACTATATCTACTACGTATGTGTATCTCAAAGCGATCTATCTATTTATCAAATGGATGGCCATCTGTCAGGAGGGATCGGATGGTGTCCAAAGGGGTTGGGCTGGGCTACCTTTGGAGGTGACGCCCGCCTCCTGCGTGGCCCGCAGCCTCCGTTCTTGGACGCGCCCCTCGGCCCACGGGGTCACGGCCATCATCAGCTGGCGGTGGAGGGAGGTCTTCCAGGCCCGGCCCCTCCCTCCGGGGGTCAAAGGTTGTCTGGGCGGGGCCTGGGAAGTCGAGACGGCGGCGAAACGTTTCCTCCGTTGGATCTCTCTCTGCGGAGAAAAGAACCGGGCTGAGGAGGGTCTCCCATGACTTCTAGATCCATAACATCCTATGGGATTTGCTCCAGAGAGTGCATTTTGCAAACGCTGCAAACGGGGATTTCGAGTATGTCAGAAAGACAAGTGCCGTTTGACACATTTCCATCCTTGTACCGTGTGTTATAATAGATGCATTTTATGCAAATTATTGTTCAATGGTGTTTGAAATTGGTGGTGGAGCCGTAAACAAGTAAGGTAACAAATAATAATAATTATCATCATGGTAAATAACAACAAAATACAATAATTATAATTATGGAATAATCATGCTGCAAGTTGTTTGTGTGTATTTGTTTGTGTTTTTAAATACATTACAACTGTACCTTCGGTCCACCTCTGAAATGATAAATAAATAAGTAATAATCAGGGCCAATAATACCAATTAAAAGATGAAAAATTATTATTATTATTATTATTATTAATAATAATAATAATAATAATACTAATCTGGAAAATAATACATTAATAATAAGGACTTATTATTATTATTAGGCCTATTATTATTATTATTTATTTTATTGGCTTATTATTATTTATTTATTTATTTATTTATTTGATGCACTTATTAACCGCCATTCTCAGCCCTTACGGGCGACTCATGGCGGTGTACAGTACACGTAAAAAGACAGTTACAAAAGCCAGTATCCACAATACACACAATACAACAAATACAGACTACATAAAAATCCGCTTCGTCTCTTCGTAGAATCATAGGCCAGTCTCCTCATCCTTATACCATTCCAGTTCTCACTACCGTAGTGTCGTTACTAGCACTTAATTAAATGCCCTCTCGAACAGCCAGGTCTTAAGGCTTTTTCGAAAGGACATGAGGGAGGGCGCCTGTCTAATGTGTGCCGGGAGAGTGTTCCACAGCCTGACTATTAGGCCTGACTATTATTATTATTATTTATTTTATTGGCTTATTATTATTATTAGGCCTGGCTATTATTATTATTATTTATTTTATTGGCTTATTATTATTATTATTAGGCCTGGCTATTATTATTATTATTATTTATTTTATTGGCTTATTATTATTACTAGGCCTGGCTATTATTATTATAAGGCCTGACTATTATTATTATTTATTTTATTGGCTTATTATTATTATTAGGCCTGGCTATTATTATTATTATTTTATTGGCTTATTATTATTATTAGGCCTGACTATTATTATTATTATTATTTATTTTATTGGCTTATTATTATTACTAGGCCTGCCTATTATTATTATTTATTGTATTGGCTTATTATTATTATTATTATTATTATTATTATTATTATTACTAGGCCTGCCTATTATTTATTGTATTGGCTTATTATTATTATTATTATTATTATTATTTTATTGACTTATTATTATTACTCGGCCTGACTATTATTATTATGATTTAATGGGTTTATTATTATTATTAGGCCTGACTATTATTATTATTATTATTATTATTATTATTTATTTTATTTATCATGTCAGGAGCAAACCAAACAGTTGTATTGCATTTTTAAACAAACAAACAAGCAAACAAAACTCAAAGTTTGCCAGCTTGGTAGTTATTATGCCTTATTATTATATACCCTGATTATTACTGTACCATTATTATTTGCCTGATTATTTTTATCAATGTATTATTTGCCAGATTACTCTATATAAATAAAATGTTTGTTTGTGGGATTAACATTAACTCAAAAACCACTGGACAAATTGACACCAAATTTGGACACAAGGCACCTATCAGGCTAACGAGTGACCATCACTCATTAAAAACATTGAAATACACAGCGAAGGGGACTTAAAAAGCCAAAAAATAAATAATACATTACAATCTATGCACAAAACCACATATATTCAAATTTATACACACACAAACACATATACACAGTCTGGGCCACAGCAACGCATGGCAGGGGGCGGCTAGTAATAATTATGTAATATTAGTATTGGCCCTGATAATTACTTTAGTCTCTTTTTATTATTATTTCCCCTGATTATTATCATACATTATTATTACTGAAACTGCTCCTCCCTATTATGCATTATTATTAATTGCCCTGATTATTATTATTATTATTACTCATTATTATTTCCCCTGATTATTATTATTATTATTATTATTATTATTATTATTATTATTATTATTATCTTCTTCTCCTCCTCCTTAAACAGCTCAGGTCCAGGCTATTTGACTAACTACATTATTATTATTATTATTATTATTATTATTACTATTATATTTATTATTATTATTATTAGACCTCCTATGCCTTTTTCTACTATTATTATTATTATTGGACCTTCTTTTTCTAATCTAGAAGCTCCCACAAATATACTTACATTCTTCCTGTGCTGCTCATAGCTATTTTTTCTCAAGACGCTTCTCACAAAGGGCAAGGAAACCTTCCAGGAATCCTTTGTGTATTTGGCCATCTAAAGGGAAGGAAGGAACAGAGTATAATAATAATAATAATAATAATAATAATAATAATAATAAGGTATAATAATAAGGCATAATAATAATAATAGTAATAATAATAATGTTAGCTGGCCTGAGTCTAAGGAGAGAAAGGTTGGATAAAAATAAAGATAATAATAATAATAATAATAATAATAATAATAATAATGGGACTTCCGAATTCAGACAGGCAGAGTTTTGGAGCACAAGACTCCTGACCTCACAATCGTGTTGAAAAACAAAGAATGGATTGTCGATGCCACTATCCCAGGTGACAGCAGGATTGCAGAGAAACTACTGGAAAAGCTGTCACGTTATGAGGATTTAAAGATCGAACTGCATAGACTCTGGCACAAGCCAGTCAAGGTGGTCCCAGTGGTGATCGGCACACTGGGCGCAGTGCCTCAAGACCTTGGCCTGCACTTAAACACAATCTGTGCTGACAAAATTACCATCTGCCAGCTGCAGAAGGCCACTTAACTGGGATCTGCAGGCATTATTCACTGATACATCACACAGCCCTAAACACTTGGGAAGTGTCCGATGCGTGATCCAATTCAACAGCCAGCAGAGTGTCTGCTGTGGACTCATCTTGTTGTGTTTCTAATAATAATAATAATTATTATTATTATTATAGGATTTAAAGATTGAACTGCAAAGACTCTGGCACAAGCCAGTAAAGGTGGTCCCAGTGGTGATCGGCACACTGGGTGCAGTGCCTAAAGACCTTGGCCTGCACTTAAACACAATCGGCGCTGACAAGATTACCATCTGCCAGCTGCAAGAAGGCCACCTTACTGGGATCTGCACGCATTATTCGCCAATACATCACACAGTCCTAGACACTTGGGAAGTGTCCGACGTGTGATCCAATACAACAGCCAGCAGAGTGTCTGCTGTGGACTCATCTTGTTGTGTTTCTAATAATAATAATTATTATTATTAATAATAATAATAATATTATAAGGTGTAATAATAGTAATAATCATAATGTTGGCTGGCCTGAGTCTAAGGAGAGAAAGATTGGATAAAAATAAAGATAATAATAATAATAATAATAATAATAATAATAATAATGTTATCTGCCTTGAGTTCCTATGGGGAGAAAGGTGGGATAGAAATAAAGATGATGATGATAATAATAATGATGATGATGATGTTAAGTGTCTTGAGTCCCTATGGGGAGAAAGGTGGGATAGAAATAAAGATAAAGATAATAATAATAATAATAATAATAATAATAATAATAATAATAGGTGCCTTGAGTCCGTATGAGGAGAAAGGTGGATTAGAAATATACTACTACTACTACTACTACTACTACTAATAATAATAATAATAATAATGTAATAATGTTAGGCACCTTGAGTCCCTATGGAGAGAAAGGCAGGATAGAAATATACTACTACTACTACTACTATTACTATTACTACTATTACTAATAATAATGTAATAATAATGTTAGCCGCCTTGAGTCCCTATGGGGAGAAAGGCAGATTATAAATATACTACTATTATTACTAGTACTACTACTACTACTAATAATAATAATAATAATAATAATGTAAATAATAATAATAATAAAAATAATAATAATAAAGATCTCAGCTGACATTTGGAAACAATAAACATTGACAAAATCACGATCTGTCAACTGCAAAAGGCCACCTTACTTAGATCTGCACACATCATTCGAAAATACATCACATAGTCCTAGACGCTTGGGAAATGTTCAACTTGTGATTCTGTGATATGAAATTCAGCATATATATCTCATTTGCTGTGACATACTGTGCTTTTGTGTTAATAATAATAATAATAATAATAATAATAATAGCCATCTTGAGTCCCTATGGGGAGTGAGGTGGGATATAAATAATGATGCCGATGATGCCAAGGTCTCTGGGCACCTACCTGTTTAGGGGAGCCCTTTTTCCGGTCGCATCCCTTTGACGGCCCTTGTGGAGTCTTCCTGGTCGAGACCCACAAGTCAAGGTCTGGCACCTGCGAGGCATAAAAATATATGACAAATGGTTTGAATGGGATTGTATGAAACGTTTATGAATGGGGCCTAATTGGGATGAAGACGCAATTCTAAAACACTGAGGCCTGGAAACCAACTGTATTCATGGCCTGTAATTAAAAGTTGCTGTAATTAGAAGTAGTTCCCCAGCTTACCTGGTTGGGGGATCCCTCCTTCCGGTTGCACCTCTTTGGCGGCCCATTCGGCGTCTTCCTGGTTGGGACCCACAAGTCAAGGTCTGGTACCTGTGCAGTATAAAATATATATGATGTATGGTTTTAATGGAATTGTATGAAAAATTTGTGAATGGGGCCTAATTGGGCTGAAGGCACAATTCTAAAATATTGAGACCTGGAAACCAACTACATTCATGGCCTGTAATTAAAAGTTGCTGAACTGCTCGAGTCGCCTTCGGGCTGAGAGAGGCGGTATATAAATATGGTAAACAAACAAATAAATAAACTGCTGACATTGATAAGAATGGTGACAATGAATAACTGTTGAACTTTTGGGAGAAAAAGTGTTTACATTATCTGAGACAATGGCTCTTTAGGTTAAGGAAATGTTTACAAGGTTCCTTACATTACGAAGGAAGTCAACACAAGGCTCCTTACGTTTACCAACACCAATTAAGACGAGTTAATGTCTGCCAGGAAACTGAGGTGAAGCCAGGATGTTTCAGGCTGGAAAAACATCCATTACCCATTGACAACTTTGGAACAACATCACCAAGAAATATTGCTATATAAGAGATCTTATTGCAATCCAAAAAGTGTGACAGATATCTGTGTTCACCCACCAAGCTCTGCTCCATGGGAAGGAGAGAGATGGTGTACCTTGGGAGTGTCAGATCTGCTATGGGAAAAATTACGATAACCTTTCTCTTACTGGAAAATTGTAATGAAAAGAAAATATGCTTTAAAGTTCTTGAAAAGTCATTCATAACACACCCGCCAAGACCTCCTCTCCTTCTCCTTCTTCTTCCGTCCCTCGTCCTCCTCTTCGCTCTCTGTGTCCAAATCCAGGTCCGAAGTGTCACTGGACGACTCCAAAGGGCTGGCGCTGCCCCTCGGGACCTGCTTCCGGCGGGGGGGCTTCTTGCTCTGCTTCCGGTTCCTCTTTAAAGGCAAGAACAAGAGCCCTCGAATTGGCATACAGTCGTCAGATGGGAAGCAGACCTTCAAGCTGACCCCTTAGCTTCCAAGAGCAAGTAGGGTTTATTTCAGGCCCTTCAGGCAACCCATAAACCCATCTTCAAGGAGGGTTCATTTAGTATTCATTTATTAATTTATTAAATTTAATTTACTGGCAATAATAACATTTGAAGCCCTGAACAGACTAGGTTCTTTGTAGCATGAGGTGTATCATTCCATATTTAAATCAGGTCATGTATTATTATCATTAAAGGTAAAGGTTTTCCCCTGACGTTAAGTCCAGTCGTGCCCAACTCTGAGACTCTGGTGCTCATCTCCATGTCTAAGCCGAAGAGCCGGCGTTGTCCATAGACACCTTCAAGGTCATGTGGCCAGCATAACTGCTTGCAGCTTTGTTACCTTCCTACTGGAGCGGTACCTACTTATCTATCACATTTGCATGTTTTTTGGGTTTTTTTAAATAAATTTTTATTACATTTTATAAACATAGAAAGAATTGTGCAAGGAAAGAGGGAGAACATTGTGAAATAGGAAAGTAGGGGGGGAAAGGTTTGAGAAGCACAAATACGCCAATTAAGAAAAAACAGGAAAAAAATACAAATACAAAAACAACAAGTACAAATACAAAATTAAAAAAATCATAATAGGAAAAAAAACAGGAAAAAAATACAAACTTTGGTTAAAAGTGACTTCCATCTAGTCATTGGGGATCTTTACAAATCTTTCTGAAATTACTTCTATGTCATTCCTTCCGTATATGTATATACATATGTTGTGATTTACTCTTGTTAGTATATAATATCTATTTTCCATTGCCTGAAATGTTCTTTAACCGGATCCCAGTTTGTTTCCTTGGGATTCCATAATTAGGTGTTATCCAATAGGTTAATTCATCCATACACATTATGTCCATTATTTTATTGTGCCAGTCTTCTCTTTGAGGTGTGTCTTTCTGTCTCCATTTTCTAGCATACACGACCCGGGCCGCGATTGTTAAATAATGAAATAATTTTTCTTTGTTTTTCTCTCCCTCCAAGTCGAGCATTCCTAATAAGAAGAACTCTGGGTCTTTCTTTATTTGAATTTTTAATATTTTTTGTATGTTGTTGTGAATCGTGCTCCAGAATCCTTTTGTTTTTGGACAAGTCCACCAGATGTGGCAAAAGGTCCCAATCTGTTGGTCGCACTTCCAGCATTTATTCGATGTGTTTCCATAGCATTTTGAAATTATTTGGGGAGTTAGGTACCATCTGTGTATCATTTTGAATAGGTTTTCTTTTAGTTCGTATGAATAAGTATATTTCATTTTTTGATTCCAGAGTTTCTCCCATTTATTTAGTTCTATTTGGTGACCTATGTTTTGAGCCTGTTTTTGCATGTTTTTGAACTGTTAGGTTGGCAGAAGCTGGGGCTAACAGTGGGAGCTCACGCCGCTCCCCGGAGTCAAGTCTATGACCTTTTGATAAGCAAGTTCAGCAGCTCAGTGCTTTAACTTGCTGTGCCACCAGGGGCTCTGTTACTATCATGATTACTATTAATATTATTAATCATTACTCATTATTATTATTATTACAATTACGATTAACATTTTTATTACCATTATTATCATTACGATTACCTTCTTAAATAATAATAATAATAATAATAATAATAATAATAATTATTATTATTATTATATACCCTGCTTTATCTACCCCAAAGAGGACTCAAAGTGGCTTAATGTAAAAGTATTTGTTTACAATGTAAAATATACAAATATGCAAACATTTAAATTAAATTAAATATAAAACGTAAAAGTAAAGGTTTCTCATCTCATAGAGTCTCAGTTTGTGCCAGAAAAAACAAATTTCTGGAGTAGAACAGCTACTTTCAAAGTGCATAAAGGTAAAGGTTTTCCCCTGACATTAAGTCCAGTCGAGTCCAACTATGGGGATTGGTGCTCACCTCACCTTTCTAAACCCAAGAAGCTGGTGTTGTCTGTAGACACCTCCAAGGTCATGTGGCCGGCATGACTGCATGGAACGCTGTTACCTTCCCGCCGGAGCGATACCTATTGATCTGCTCACATTTGCATGTTTTCAAACTGCTAGGTTTGCAGAAGCTGGGGCTAACAGTGGGAGCTCATCCCATCCCGCAGATTCGAACTGCCGACCTTCCAGTCAGCAAGTTCAGCAGCTTAGTGGTTTAACCCGCTGCACCACCACGGCCCTCTATAGTACACAATGCAATGTCTAAATATTAAAAAGAAACCTATAACTTCAATACAGTTAACATGGTTTCATTTCAGATTCTGGTATGATTTAAATTTTTAAATACGATAAAGAATTGGACTTACCCTGTATCCCAAAAGCACTTTCCATTTGCTGAGACATTGCGTTCCTGACCGATGGGGCAATTCGGAGGCTATTTCTGCCCAATGACCTAAAGAGAGGAAGTATTATTATTATTATTATTATTATTATTATTCATTTATTTACACTTTGCATTTTCTCTCCAAGAGACTCAAAACAGCTCAGAGTAAAACCGATACAATGCCATTCAAATCATAAAAATACACAAACATTATTATTATTATTATTATTATTATTATTATTATTATTACTACTACTACTACACCAGAAATAAACAAACACTGAAATATAATTAAATATTAACGGGATGGAAAGAAACCCTTAAAACCCAATTCATAACCTACCCACGCCGTATTTTTCTGTCAGCTCCACCAATTTTGTTTCTTCTTCCTTGCTCCATTTGCCTTTCTTAATATCAAAGTGGAGAGCGTGCAAATACCTGCAAAGTTAAAGGGAAAATATTAAAAAGTCCCGGAACGGAGAGAAACAGAATTCCCTTTCTTGCTTTGATCGTTTTCCTCTCATAATAATAATAATAATAATATGCATCCTTGGAGAAAAGCAGGGTACAAATTAATAATAATAATAATAATAATAATAATAATAATAATAATATGAATCCTTGGAGCCAAGCAGGGTACAAATTAATAATAATAATAATAATAATAATAATAATAATAATAATAATAAGCATCCTTGGAGAAAAACAGGGTACAAATTATTAATAATAACAACAACAATAATAATATGCATCCTTGGAGAAAAACAGAGTACAAATGAATAATAATAATAATAATAATAATAATAATAATATGCATCCTTGGAAAAAAGTTGGGTACAAATTAATAATAATAATAATATGCATCCTTGGAGAAAAGCAGGGTACCAATTATTATTATTATTATTATTATTATTATT